TTTCATGCTCATTGCTTCAGTGATGCTATCTAACCATTTACATATATACATATACATATACATATACATATACATATACATATACATATACATATATATATATAGCCAAATTTGTAGAAGTTTGATTTTACACCCCTGAGCAGTTTGCAAAGAGGAAAAGAGCTCCAGAGGAAGCTCCCAGCTGAGTGGTGGAGTCTCCAAATGGCAAGTGCAGTTCAATGTGGCCACATGCAGAATAAAGAAATCCAAATTTCTCATATATATTAATGGCATCTGAGTTGGAAGTGATGATCTGGAAAGGGATCTTGGAGCCATGGGGACTGAAATTCTGAAAATGCCAAGCTAGTGTGTGATGGTGGTTAAAAAAAAAAGGCAACTTCCATACTTGGAGTCATTTAGAAAGGAATTGAAAATGAAAATCAATAAGTAATGCCTTTAATATAATTTGATGTTGAGCCCATGCTTGGAGCCCATGAATTGGACAATGTATGAAAAGAGTGAATAAAACTATTAGATGCACAGCAGCTCCCTACAAGGAAAGGCTACTGCATAGGGTTTTTAAATTTAGAGGAAAGGAGAGTATGGGGAGATAGAATAGAAGGACACACAATAATGCATGGCATGAAAAATGTGGATACACAGCCATTTTTCCCCTTGTCTCTAATGTTAGAATTTGGAGTCTTCCACTAAACTAAATGCAGGGAGATTCAGGACTAACATCCAAATAGGAGATGGAGGGCGAAACAGGGACTTGAAATCAGCAAAGGAACTGATTCTCAGGAGCCCTGCCCCACGCTGCTCCTCCTGCTAGAGATATCCCATGGAGCTGACCTGTATCCCAGCCTGCTGGTCATTACACATGCATGACTGGGCTTTGTAACTGCAAGAAGGGCCCTTGGAGTAGAGCAGCTGCCAAGAACTTCCAGCATTCTCAGATATTCCATGTCAATGATGAGTCTGAAAAATGTCAGCATTTCCTTGGAGACTGTCAAATATTTATGCAAGTTTAACAGATCTCAATTTGAAATTAAGGAGGGTTGCTCAGCAGAACAATGACGGATCTGTTTCATTCACCTGCACAGGATATGAAACAGAGCAATACCAACAAACGAAGCAAAAATAAGCTGCGTCGTTTGCTCAGCACTTCATTTTTTTTATATTTTAAACAAAAGCAAAGGGAGGGAAGGATGACAATCTATTTTCCAGGCTGAACAATAAGCAGCCTGTCAGCGTGTCCTAGGAGATGTTATCCCTCATCCTAGCAAGTGTTCGAGAATCTTACTCAGCAGTATTCTGACTGAACAACATATATGTCCTTGAGCGGGTGGGTGTAAAGTTTTGCTGCATCATAAATATAAAAAAAAGGAAAGGGAAAATTTCTTTTGCTTTTTAACCTGTTACACCATGACACCGCAGCCACCCAAAAAAGCAAAATATCAAGACTTCCGTAGAACCTCCTGATGGGCTGCATCCCAGATGAAAGAAGACTCTATCAATGAAAAATGAAGAGAAATTGTTCCAAAGTCCTCAAAACAGGCTAAAATGCAGGCAGCTTTTTCTTTACAGGAGAGCCGCTCCATCCCCACAAACATCTTAATTTGACTCTTTCTCCACTTTTTCAAGCTTTCATAACCTTAGGAAGGGTGGATATTGTTTGCAGTGGCCATTTGTATGTAATGAATTTTATACATGATTACAAGTATGGCTGCACTATACACCTGTACAATATTTGAATGATTTACTTTTGATTCTTTTCCTTAATTTCCAGTATAGAATTTCCTTCTTTCACAGCAACAAAATGCTAGGTTGACATTCACTCAGCAGAGCCAATAGGTCAAAGTACATGATTGGTTTCATCAAGACATATTCTGGGATGGGGTCTAGGGAGAAATTTAAACAGCTGGCCTCCTCCTCTATCCCTCACTAAGAAATACAAGGGCAATTGCTACAGAATATTGGAGGTCCTGGGTTTGAGAGCTATGGGTAAAACTCTGTGTGGTGTATCTTCTCACTTACGTATGATCCCGTCTGGGCTGTCCGCATGCTTGGGCAGGTAATGGGTGGAGAGGTCACTTTGGAGAACTTCATCAGCTGTTGCACGTGCTAAAGCTGCTGCCAGAAGGGAGGGGCAATTACTGGAAGAGAAGGAAGAAATGGGAAATGTTTCAAGCTTTTCCGGCAAGCAAATAGCCAGATACAGAACAGCACCAGGGTCACATATGAGGTGGAAGCTACCCAAGAACCTTGAAGGTTAGTGATGTGATTTCTCTTTTTTCTTTCAAAAAAAGTCAGTGGTTTAACCATAAAGACTCTTGTTCTTAATTTTTATTTATTTATTTTGAAAGGTTACTTTGTTCAGCTTTATTTCTGTTTATGGTTTCCAGCCACGACTATACAGCTGCAAAATCATGGATCTGGAAGGGGCTCTATTGAAGCCACTGAGTCCAACCCCCTTCTAAGAGCAACATCCAGACTAACCATTACAAGACAGAGGGTCACCTAGCCAGTTGAGCCCTTCTAGGGCCTACCACCTCCATAGGCCACTAGTTCCACATAGTCAAATTTCCAATATCATTAGGAAGTTCTTCCAAATATTCAAACTGAAATCTGCCTTCCTATAGCCTAAGACTATAATTCCATATCCTGCACTCTGAGATGGTAGCAAGCAAATCTTGATCTCCTGTGTCTCTTTTTCAGGCACTGAAGGGGATAATCACACTGTCCTCAGTCTTCCTCTTTCAAGGCTAAACATACCACATCCCCTCAATCTCTCTTCATAGGCTGTGGTTTTCCAGGCTCCTGGAAAATCCTACTGAGTTCTATCACAAGACATTTCCTTATTTTTCTTGGAGAAGAATGGCGTTTGGAAGTTAGAGGCCAAAATGTGAACTAGGCAAGGCCCAGCTGAAAATGAACTGTTGCCATAAATACAGCAGGGCTACTTAACTTAAAGGGCTACTCTTTCCCTGTTCCCATCTGTAATGTGGGGTTATTAATACTGCTCTTTCTTTACTTGGTTATTGCAAGGACTGAGAATACAGTATTATTTGAGGAGCAAGCAGAATGCTTAAGAAATGCCATCTATCCTAATCATTGAAAAGGAAAGAACCATTCCCTTTTATCTTGGATTTGCACACATTTACTTCAATCCTTGGTGCTGGATCAATTTCTTTTCCCTTCTCCTCCAGCTAACTATGATATGTTTTAGTATGTATAAGGGTAGGGTTGTGACTGAAGAGATTCCTACCATAATTACAACAGGCACTGGTTTTTAGACACTTAAAAGAATTTAATGTAGCCTGGATCATAACAGACCCTAGCACTGTAAAGTAATCCTTTCTTTTTCCTTGTAATGACAACAGGAAAACTGAGATCAGTAGTTTTCTGTCCAAAAGTGCAGTTACCCCACAACACACGCAACATTTCAGGCTGTTGTCCATATCCATTGCTTCCATTGCAGATTGTTGCCTTATACTATCTGAATTCATAATTTAATGTGATGGTTCTGGTTTAGTGTGATGTGTGGGTAAAAGGCAGTAAGTTTTGATCAATAAAACCACAATAAAATCATGGTTTGTTGGTTTAATACATGCAACTCTAGCTTCATATTTTCTGTAGGCTAAACAGACCCAGTTCCTTTAACCGTTCATCACAGGACTTGGTTTCCAGTCCCATCATCATCTTGGTAGCCTTCATCTGAACTCGCTCCAATTTGGCAATGTCATTTTTAGATTGAGGTGCCCAAGACTAGACACCCTTTTCAAGTGAGGTCTCACTGAGGTAGAGTGAGACAATTAGTTTCCATGAACTTATGAACCTCTTTGCTCCTATTAATACATCCCAGAATAGCATTTGCCTTTGTACCAGCTACATCTCATGGTTGGCTCACATTCAACATCTTCTAGAACATCCAGATCCTTTCACATGTATTACCACTGCCATGCCAGATCTCCCCCATCCTATACGTGACTCTGTTTTTTCTCCCCAGATGCAGAATTTTACACTGCTCCTTGTTAAATTTCACCCCGTTTGTTTCATCACTGCTGAAGCTCATCTAGATCTTTTTGAATCTCTCTTCTAAATTGTTAGCCATTCCTCATCTGTCATCTGCAAATTTCAAAATCATCTGCTCAACCCCTTCACCTACGTCATGAATAAAAATATAAGAACAGCACAGGATTCAGGAGAGAACCCTGTGGGACTCCACTCAATACTAAGCTGTTGGGGAACCATTTAGGAGTGTTTTCTAGACCCTATTCAGCCAACAATGAATCCATCTAAAAAATGAGTCATCTAGCCCATATTTTACTTTTTTATTAATGAGGCTATTGTGAGAGATTCTGTCAAGTGTTTTGCTGATAAAAAGAAAAACATTTAAAATTTATTTAAGAAGGTACTTTGGTCATGGGGTTACTACTGGGGCTTGGATCCCTGACTAGATAGACTAGCTCAATACAAAAAAATCTTCTCTTGCCCCTGGAGTCAGCTTTGCCTCAAAATCCAAGGGAGCCCCCACTCCAAATCTCACATCTGTCTCACTGAGAATAGGATACTGACCCAATTCCCAGGCTGAGAGCCACCTATTCACCAAATTTCCATCCTTAAATTCAGCTTCTGTACAGTGCTGTAGCGTCAAGACATCTTCTGTCTCCTTCCCCCATTTTACCCAGATTATCCTTCTTACGCCAACAGGATCTGTTTTGAAACTGTAAACGTAGAGCACCCTTACATAAAACACTTATAACTTACATTGCAGATACTAAATGTGGCTATTTCAATTTTTTGCATGTCATGTTTCTGTAAATTCCTTTAAGATAGGATTAAAACTAAAATACCAACAATACCCACCAAATAATATGCTGTCAAGAATAAAATGCTAACCCTTTAACTTAAATGCCATCAAGAAGAACTCCTTTTCAGCATCAGCAGTTGTGCTGTCTACCCACACAGTTGCTTGGAAGTTCAAAAATGCGCAGTCTTGCATAGCAGGAGCAGACTTCAACTCCCAGAATTCCCCCAGCCAGCAAATTTAAGTCAAATTCTTGGGGCCTTTTTTATCCATTGAAGAAAGACGGAGAATGTGTTACTCAATGAAAATACCCTAATCTGGGCTCTTTTGTCACCAGTGCATCCCTGAGAAATGTGATCTTATTGTTCATAAATTAGCCTGCCAAAGAAGAACCATAAAGGCTAACATCTGGGGGAGATTTCTCTCCAGTCCAGAATCTGAAGCACTTATGCCTTTGACACGAAACTGAGGATGCCAGTTATGATTACTTTAATGTTGCCTGCATAAGTCCAGATCTTCCATCACAGGGCCTCACACAGTGAGATCATCTTTTCCCACTGCTTGTTCCCTATGGTCTGCTGCTGGCAGATTCCCTTACCCTAAGACCGAAATGGCCACGCACGTCCACATTTTCCATTTTGCTCGGAGGACTCTGACCAGCCCTCGTTTATATCTCAAAGAACAAAACAGCAAAAAGCAATTATTCTGAGCAATGATCCGAAAGGTTTTCCCTCAAAAGAAAAAGAAATGAGCCTCACTATAGCGAAGTCATTTTCTGCTCACTTTTGCCTTTGATCTGCAACTAGAGCAGTGTTTCTCAATCTTGGCAGCTTTCAGATGTGTGGACTCCAAGACCCTTGCTGGCTGGGGAATTCTGGGACTTGGAGTCCACACATCTGAAAGCTGCCACGGTTGAGAAACACTGGCTTGACCAAGAAGGGGTGGTGTCCGGCACCCACCCCAGGGAGCCAGAGTAGACCCTGATACTAATTGTTGATAACTGACTACTATTGAACAGAAACATGCCTTAAAAATTACTGGTATTGCATAGAGATATGGAAGAGTGCTTTCATGCTGTCTCCTCTGACTAGTAGCAAGATCTCCAGGGACAAACCAGCACCTGTTATATGTGGTCTAGCATTCCACCATAGCTCTTCCCCAAGCTTACTCTTAAACACACACATTCTCTCTCTCTCAAGAATGCAACCTTCCCATTAGTATCACACTCAGAACATTCATCGTTTTGCCCACAGGTCTCTCTATGGGTCTCCTCCATGCTCACGCCTGAAGCTTACAGTTTTGAAACTCTCTGCTTATCCAGCATACAATGCGGGCCTCCACACAAGCTTAGTTAAATTAGAAGGTTTTGAAAGTATATCATTCTAAAGGTTTGATCAGGTAGGCGTTTGGCACAATACCCACAGTTGTTTTTCTGCAGTCTTGTGAATAACACCCCCAAACTGGAAGGAGGCAAGTGTAATAGTATGTGGGAATGACCTTGGGAGACGAGGTGAAGAAATGTTGCCAAGGGAACGGTCAGATAAGAGAGGGCATAGCCCACAGCTGCATAGTGGGTACAGCAAGAAGCTCAGGAGGAACCCTCCCTAAGTTCTCGGGCTGTAAAGGTGGCGGTGGGAGATTTGTACTTTCAGACTTGCAAGATTCTGTTACTGTAGCTTTACAATAAAGTAGAATTAGCTTATCTGGCCATGTTTCCTATCTGGTCTACCTGGTAAGGCTGACAGCAACTTCCATCAATGAACTTGGGAGGGAACTTGTTTGAACTGCGGCCCCGGATTTCCTTTCTATGCACCTGAGAACCAGTCACGGAGCTGTGGAGAAGCTCTCTACTCGTCTGTCCCCAAGCTATTCTATTTTTGTTCTGATTTGAAGTCGTCTAATCCGTTAACCCTTTTCCAAACTCATCCAAAATGAGGGGAGGGGAATCCAAGAAAATACCCCTTCCTCTATCAAGAGATTTGCTTTTCATAAAATCAAAAGTCAGCTCTGGAATTCACTGAGGGGATGTCAGAAAATCTGGCACCTCTGATTCCACGCACGCTGAATTTCTCACACCACTTCCAATTAAGCTAGCATCAAGGAACGCTTCTTGTCCTTCCAGGCTGTGTGTTGCTATTCTGCGTATGTGAAAAGAATTACGTGCATCATCTCCACTCAGGAAATAACGTGTATTTTCCGCCTGTATCCTGCAGGCAAAATGTCATCTATTAAGGCACTCCTCTTGATGTGCAGCTCTAAAATGGCACTGACATTTCTATAAAAAGCTGAGAAACTCTAAATTCCACAATGCTAACCACAAGATGGAAAGGTAATTTTTGAGGGGTATGTGTGTGTCTGTGAAGACAATGCAATTGTACAGTAC